AAAAAAAAAAAAGAGGAAGCCATTTGTCTTTTGCCATTTTCTATTCCAGAAACTCCAGCTATTTGCATATTTCATGCTTTATACAGCAGCTTTCATCCATCAAAATTTGTGATGCGATGGCCTTAAATTCTGGATGCCTCCGCTTTTCTTTACACATCCACAGAGCCAGAAAGCACACTTGAAGTACTGGCAATGAAATACACAGCCACAACTCACTGAGTCCTGTCTCAGGGAAGCTGTCATGTGCTCTGTGAGGCTTTCCATCGCCCGCCTGGTGTCAATATCAGCCCTACAAAAGAAGGGAAAAAACAAAAACAGACAAATCAAGCTGGCTGAAAATATTTACACTGGAAATACTCTTCCAGGACCTCATAAATGCATTATTTGACAGCACTAAAAAATAATTATGCAGCTTCGGATGCTGAAATACGACGCTGGATCAATTTGCTCTGGTCAGCGGCGCTGGGTAGGAGTGATTTTTAATAACTTCAAAATGTCAAATTCTAATCCGTTTGGACTGCGCGCCGCCGTCTCTTTAAGTTCCCTGTGACACTTTTATCACCTTTTCATTAAGGAGACTTCACAGAGATGAAAACCGTGCTTCTGTTTGCAAACCCCAAGCAAAAAACTTTCTTTATGTTCGGTGCATATGAAAAGTAAAAGATCAATATTCCAACACTGTCTTCCCAGAGCCGAGAACTTAAACTGATGACTCTGTGGGCAGAAGTGAAGAAGAAGAGGCTATGAAAGCCTGCTTGCATTCATTGTGGCTTACTAAAACAGTGCGAGATACATAGTAACGCTCTTGGAAACGTATCGCTCTTCAATTTAATAAACTGTAAGAGAGCCGTCTGCTGTTACTAAGCCACATTTGTTTTTCAAAAAGCAGCCTATTGTAATGAGCGTTCTTTTCAGAGGTCAGTGCAGTCAGACTGAACACAAACAAGAATAAACGTATTTAGTGTGTCTGTCCATTTTCACCATGTCAGCTGTGAACGACTCTGCAGCTTTTCTAATTTGGCAAAGAGAAACTAGCATCAGTGCTGCTCTGGCTAACGGTTTAATCATGCTACTTGACAACAACAAACCATTATTGGAGATTTGGCCATAAAATGACTTTTGCAGTAAGATAAAAACAATAGCTGTCAAATTCAATTGTGAATGTGTTGTGTGAGAAAGTATGAGCTTTTATGTTCAGACTTCAGATACCGGTTCCTCCGGAGGATTTCTCTATCCAGGTCATCAGACAGCCTCTGCTGGTCACAACGCAGATCCCTCATGGACTGGTGCAGGGTATGAATCTGTGTGAGACAGCCACAAACCCACGCTGAATACAAAACGCGAGACACGAGCGGGGCACGGCTGAGCGGCGCTCCACATCGCTGCAGCGTAGAAAACACACTACAGATATCTGAAAGGGAGAAACTAACACAAATGAAAGCCCATGTGAATAAAATGATGTTGATGGAAAAGGCTGCACTCGCGCTGACAGGGGCTAGAAACACAGCATATTTCTCCCATATTGGTGACTCTTCATTGGCTGCCAGTGAAATTCAGAGTTGAATTTAAATTCCTTCTCTACACATACACGATCTTAATAATCAGGTCCCATCTTATATTAAGTACCTCATAGTACCATGTTAGAAGAGGTCATGTGGAACCAGTTTGGATTCGGGACACAGACACCGTCTCTACTTTTAAGATTAGGTTTAAAACTTTCCTTTCTGATGAAGCATGTACAGCAGTTAGTGCTGGCTCACGTGACCCTGAGCCCTCGTAGACTGCTGGGTGTTTCCCATGATGTACTCCGTGTGTTTATACACACCTCTGATTTCATCATTAGTCATTATTAATCTCCGGCTCTGCCCAGTACTGTTTCCTTTATCCCGTCTCTTCCCCTCAACCCCAGAAGGTTGCGGCAGATGGCCGCAGGGAGTTTTTCCTTCCCACTGCCAAGTGTTTGCTCATAGGGGGCTGTGCTATTGTTTGGGTTTTCTCTCTATTATTCTACAATCCTTACCTTACAATATAAAGTGCCTTGAGCTAACTGTTGTCGTTATTTGGTGCTATAAAAAGACTTAAATTCAACTGAACTGACACATTAGGCCAAAGGTGGCGTAATATATTTCTTATTTACAGGTGATTGCTGCTGTCCAGTGAAAACATGCAACCACACAGATGCCATATTGGTTCATAGAGCTGTGCCTCCTGACAATGAAACTTTCAGGAGGCGTTTTGGTTTGTTACAACTACTAGAACTACATTTATTATACAGGATGCAGAGGTAAGTTTACACCTTATATTAACAGTAGCTCAGGTGATAGACCAGTAAGGTGAGCGGTTCAATCTGCTCCAGTCTGCATGCCTTGGGCAAGATATTAACCCCAGATTTCTCTCCGATGCATCCATCAGAGCGTAAATGTGTGCGAGTGTTAGATAGAAGCACTAGAAAAAAGTGTTGGTGTGAATGAGGCAAATTGTGTAAAGCACTTTAACTGGTCAGCTAGACTAGAAAAGCGTATATATAAGAACCAGTCCATTTACCATTAGTAATCATAAACAGTTCAATGATATAATGTTTAAGAAGAGTCATCCAATCCTCCGGCTCCTTTTTGTGTTGTTGGGCCTCAAACTAATGTGATTACT